TTGACATCTTTGCCATCTTGAATGAGTTAAATTTATCACTGCAAGGACCAAATGCAACATGCCTCGATTTGTCTGAAAAGATGTGATCATTCCAGATGAAACTTCAGCTTTGGCAAGAAAAATTGGATGAAAATAAAATTTACATGTTGTCTACCTGCCTTACCTACTTTCTTTGAGGAACATGGCATTGAACAGAAAAAAGGATCATGATGATAATTTCTGTGAAAGAACACCTGCACATGCTTGCAGACAAAATTTCATCATACTTTCCAAATCTACCTGACACCCCATTTGCACTTGCCAGAGCCCATTCACAGTCAAAGTTGAAGGTGTTCCTGAGACAGCACAAGAAGAGTTCATTGAACTTATTAACAGTGATGCAGCGAAAACTGATTTCTCTACAATGCCAGTTACAACATTCTGGATCAAGTGTTTGCAGTCATATCCTGTTCTGTCTGAGAATGTCTTGTGTCTTCTTCCATTTCCAACACCATATCTTTGTGAAACGGAGTTTGACAGCCTGTTGGTTATCAAGTCTAAATACAGAAGTAGACTTGTTGTGGAAGATGATCTTTGTTGTGCTCTTACAAAGACTGCCCTGAGAATGTCTGATCTGGTGAGAAAAAAGCTCTCTCAACCTTCACACTGATGTTGGCTTTTTACTGCATACTGTTGCAAAATGTAGCAATATCGTTTACTGTTGTTATATTAAGACTGTTACCCATGCTACACCATGCTTCAAGACAAAATTCATTTATTTGTAACCAGAAGTAAATATTTCACAATATATAATTACATATTGTTTTTGTGATTAATCATCATGCTTTCATTATGTTTAATTTGTAATAATGAAAATACATCCTGCTTATCAGATATTTACATTATGATTCATAACAGTAGCAAAATGACAGTGATGAAGTAGCAACGAAAATCATTTTATGGTTGGGGGGATCACCACATGAGGAACTGTCTGAAAGGGTCCCGGCATGAGGAAGGTTGAGAACCACTATCCTAGAGCCTCCTGTCTTTGATTGACTGTTCTCCTCTCCACGTTAAATACTCATTCTCATTCCCACAGAAGCCAGCAGTCACTCCCCGATCTCACATCCCAACATCTCTTTCTCCATCTGCTACCTCCCAATAGCTCCCCTTACTGTTCCTAATAGTTCACCTGGGACAGTCCTCACGCCCATCGCCTTTCAATCCACTGACCCTCTTACCTCTATCTGTCCCAATCCCCTCAGATCCTATTTTTAGAACACAGATTCCGAAAGGGAGTATTTTTTTAGTTTTTGTAACTGCTCATTCTGGGTGCAAAGGACAGTGTCTACACAGAGGCCTGTAAAGATGATTGTTGAAAAAGTTATTGAATATGAAATGATAAAAACCTATCCATTTTGCTCGCGCTGATTTTTTTTCTCCTTATTTCGTCTTTCCTCACCTAGATATTGGATATCCTACTAGATGGCGACCTAACAAATGAACCTTCTTACTTTGAGAATGCTACAGGATGTACTAATTATTATAACTTTTTACAGTGCAAGGTAATGACTACAGTTTCTTAAGCCATGATAATGTTTGCTGAAGTCTTTTGGCATACCAAAATTCCTTTGATTTGGGAAACATTATAGTTGACTCTATACTAGATATATATATCCATACTGCATTGTAGTGTTCAGTCTACTAATCTATAGGATTTTCCTTTTCTCATCAGTGTTGCACACATTATAATCTGGCTATTGAAGTGTGTGATATTTCAGACAACTGAAAACAATTTCCAATTAGCACCATTCCCCCTGGTGGGGCTTCATAGAAAGAAGCTCATTTGTGATGAACGCAGTCTGGGATTGGAGTTCTGTGGATTGGGGCCTAGAACATCAAGTCTACATGATTTTCTTGAAAAGGCCCACATTCTTTGTTCTCTACTTTAGCAAATGTAAATCAAAACGGCCAAAGCCTTTATGAAAATATTTGCTTTGTCTTTGTTTGAGCTTAAGATGTTTAGTGTGTTTCCTATGGCCCGCAATTCAAGCCCTTAGGAATAGTTCTCACAGTATTCAAGTAGTTACTTTTCATTCAAGTAGGCCAAAGTTGGTGTGTTTTGTGTAGAATTAATCAAATAAGAGAGAGGGAGCCAAAGGAATGGTTTGGATTTGTATAATCTTGGTCTAGCTTATAGAACAATACTTTCTAGTGGTGGTTGTTTTTTAATTGCCTTATTTATGAACTATTTTGTAAATAAAATATAAATCTAATTTCAGTGGAATTCTACAATCTTGTGGTTTGGGAATTAGGTTTTGCCAAACAAAAGACATATTGCAGGCAAGAGAGAAACACAATTTGTGATTTGAGTTTTTTTTTCTTTACACAGTAATGCGGTCATATCTAGCAAAGTTTGTGCTTGATACACAAAACTGCTAAACTCCAACCCTGACCGTCTTTTTCTGCTTTTTTCAATCTGAATTGTTTAAAAAAACAGAATTTACTCTTTCTCTCTTTTTAATATGATTATGACAGAAACTTATGTAGAGTCTTTTGCCCTTGTTATTGTTCTTCAGACTCATGGACACCTTTCCTTGTGTCTTCTGTTCTTTATAGAGTATGGATCTGGTCCTGCATTTTGTGGACTTCACTCCTTAGATTACAGTCAGCTGGCACTCTTGTTTCCCCTTAATGAGTAGCGGAATATGGAAAGAGGGGAGGGAAATCCCCTCCGTCTCTAATCTATTACCTAATCCCTGTGGTTCCATCTGCCTTGTCTTCCATGGGACCTCAGTGGCACAGTACGCTAAGCACTGAGCTGCTGACGGGTTGGCAGTTCGAACCCCCGGGAGCAAGAGGAGGCTGTTTGGGTCTATAATAAGGACCGAGTTAGAAACCCTTGGGAGCAGTTCTGTTGTGTCCCACATGGTTGCTATGACTCAGAATCAGCCCAATGGTAAAACTGAGAGACTCGGTGCCATCGAGTCAATTCCCACCCTATAGTGAGCCTGTACCACTCAATGGCTGTGGTTTTATTCCTCATGAAGCCTCCGACAAGGGGCAAATCAACTGTACCGATCTCACCTCTCTCCTCCCCACCCCCACCCCCATCTCTGAGTCCAATGAGATCTCCAATTAGAGCCACAAGTTGCAAAAGACGTGATTCCGCAAAGGAAAATCCAGCATTTTCAAATTGGGTCCTGGCTCTGAGGGCTTGGCGCTCATCCAGATGTGCTGTCCAATGACCTCAGACCCCTCCCCGTTCACACAGCAGAGGCAGAGGGAGCCGTCACGTCACAGGTTAGCAGTCCCCCCACAACTTAGAAAACACAGTAGGAGAAATGAGAAGCTTTGCTCTGGGCCCAGCATGCCGGTCCCTCATTTCTTTCTACACCCTTTTTTTGCCAGGAACCCGAAGACCAAACTTACTACGGGAAATTTTTGTCACTCTCAGAAGTGAGACATGCTCTCCATGTGGGAAACCGGAATTTCAGCGATGGTTCTGACGTTGAAAAGCATTTGCGAGAAGATACCGTGAAGTCCGTGAAGCCGTGGTTAATTGAACTCATGAATAACTACAAGGTAAACTTATTTTAAGTGACTTTCTTCCACTTGTGATCACACTCTGGTCAGTTTTAGATTAAAAAAAAAGAGAAATTTTATACATTTAAATAACCTCTTTCTGAGGTCTTGTTTTCTTCTAATTAAAAATTCCATATTTTGGGCCCCCCCCCTTTTTTTTTTCTAAATGGCTTTCCTTTGATAGTTCATTTCAAAACGAAATTCCCTTTGGGACATGCTGCGTCTCATGCCATCTGGGGAAAAGTGGAGCCGAGCTGAAAATGATACTGGATTTGTGTGAGTGTCCCCTCCCTTGTGGTTGGTAACACGTGTCCTGGTAAAGTCCGGGAAGAAGGAAATCCAGTGGTAATCCCCAAATGTGCTCTGCTTCTCTCACCGTCAGAGAGCAGACCCCTGGGATATGTGCTCAGGAAATAGTCAGGGGACATGTCTCGCTGGCCACGACTCTTCCTTCTGTTAGCATAAACTCACTGCCCACCAATCCCTCATTTGCCCTCCCTACCCCTCATGGGAACCCTGAACAAGCTTTGGCTTCTATAGGTTTGCTGATGTTAGGTAAGCGAAATCTATGGTCCTTGTCCTTTGCGACGGATTCGTTTTTTAAGGTTCATGTTGTAGCATGCATCGGGACTTTATTGCTCCCTCAGTCGGAGTAATATTCCATTAGGCATAGGTACTGCAGGTGGACTAGTCATTCCTTAATGAGCATTTCGGCGGTTTCCGCTTTGGGCGCTAGCGAAAAGTGCTCCGACGAAGAGTGATCGTTCGAAGAGTGATCGTTCGAAGAGTGATCATTCGTGCTCCTCCTCTGGTCCCCCAGGGTAGTGAGGCACGGCGGGGCACCAGGTCTGCCCTCCTCCAGCTATCCATCTGCCCCCTCCACATCGGCCCAAGGCTGATTCCTACAAGGCAGAGGCCAGGTGGGTCTCACTCCTCTCCTGACACGGCCAACCTTTCCTCCCACAGCACTCTACTCCTCCACTAGCTTCCATCATCCCCTGCCGCACAGCACACGCAGGCAATGCGCTTATGGGGTTGATGATTAGGGGTTGTTATTAGCGGTTTGTTCAGGAGGCTCATAGGTTGCACAGTGTTAAAGATAGAACTCTTTTGTCTCTGGCACCTCTTCTCTGCCAGGCTGGCAGGCAAGTCTTTTCTGCAAGTCCTGGCATGTCAGCCACTTGGCTTCCACCCTTTGGGGCAAGTATTACAAAGCACCTTTAGCCCTGATCAATACCCCAAGGGCAGTCTACTCTGCAAGCCTGCCTCCCGAGCAAAGAGACTTTATTCATTCCACGGGCCAAGAAGCCCACTGCTCAGCCTCACAGACTCAGCTCTGCGTCATGGTCTCAGGGCTGGTGCCTCTGCTGCTTCTATTGCCTCCACCTGGGGCAGGGCTCTCACACGAGCTCCTCTGCGGCTCTGCTGCCTGGACTGTTGTGGGATCCCTCTGTTCCTGCTTCTGAAATGGCAGAATGGCAAACGTGACCAACCCCGGGGCTGGAGTCCTTGACCTCTTATTTGCATGCTACCACCTCTCATTGGGTGAGAGTTCTGAAAAAATGTGGATAAAAGAATCTAGCTAGTCATGTCACGTCACCTCGGGCGATTGGCATTTGTTCTAGGGAAGGTATTTGGGGAAACTCGGAAGGATACGTGCACGGATAACAGAGGAGACCAGCGTCTGAGGTGCTCCACTTCCTCTGTCTCCTAAAGGGTGCAAAGTAGTATTTAGGATGCACCAGGGTAACCTGTAGCCCATTGGTGTTTGTATGAATTAGATACAAGACAATCACTCTTCAAGACTCTTTATTTCCTTCTGTCACACACACCGAAAGCCCTAATAAATTGCCTTGTCAGAGGCAGACTCTTTATTGCTGTTTTCTGCTACAAGGAGTGCACGTTTCTGTAAGTCCACGCTAGGAAGAGTCTCCCTTGGGATTGTGCAGGGGCTGGCCAGCACTGCAGTCCGGGGAGTTTCTCATCAAATGCATCGATCTGGGTTGGGTTCCAGGATATGCCCAACCCAAAAGGCCCATTTGGGAACCCTGTTGTTTTTACACAAAGTTTGAGTCCCTAGATGTCCAGTTTCTGTGATCTCTGTTGCAAATAAGCCTAGGTCACAGGCAGGCAGACTCTCCAAACCCATTATAAATCTTCAGAGCTTACTTTCTAGGAAAGAAAGGGTCTCTAACTAGAGATGTCCCACATTCCAACCATCTCGATGTTTAGTTTTTGGGGGCAAGTTCAGTGGCCCCTAGTGCTCAGCTGCATCAAGCCTTCTCCGAGTTCCCCCAGAAAGCATGGCTGCCGGCTTCTTCTCGAACGCCTCTACTTGATGGCCATACTGAGCACACTAGCCTGGCATTTGGGACTCTAAATCTGATACTGTAATGTACATACCCAGACTAGAGCAGATGCTGACAGCCAGTGAATGGGCTACATGAATGAATGAAAAACCCAAGCTATAAATTAGTGTTAGACCCAAAACACGACTAATCGGCTCGTCCACAACCCATTCACTATTCACTATCCACATACATGTATTGAACCCAAGCAAGCTGACCTCTTGTGTTCAAAGATATAAACAATTTGTAGTAACATTAAGGAATACAAAGGTTTGTTGTTTTGTTTTTGAGACCAGATAAGAAATGACCATGGATGTATTTGCGTGTGACCTTGGAAGACATATTTTCTCAGTGTATCAATTCACGTACAACGCCTGCCTTAAGCAACTGGAATACGAGCCCTTTCTCTGTCACGTGGGGATAAGGCTGGGCTTGCAGACAACTTGGGATGGCCTCCACTGAGGTTGGTAAATCACCACAGAGTGTTCACTTGCTTGGTCAAGGAGACTATATTGATGAAAGGTCACCCTGCATTTTGACCTTTCAATATCTCTGATCCTGTTGTCCATATGTGTTGAATCTACTGTTATGAATGATAATGAAATCTGAATGTTTTCTCAAGGTCTAACATGTAAATCAGTGGCCAGAAAGAGGGACTCCTTTCAGGGTGCAGAGAAAGGGCATTCCAGTAAAGAAAGAGGATGCAGTAGCAGTCCATCTGAATGCAGACGAAGAAGTGGCTGCTGCTCAGAGACTGCACGCTTACTGATGCAGCTGGCCTAGCCCCCAGGGCAGCGGTTATCTGTGGCTTGTTACTTAACTGTGGTGAACCTCAGTGTGTATGTAACGGGAACAGAACAACCTACTCTGGCTTAAACATGAGTACCCTCAACATTACATTTACGTAAGTCTCTGCAAATTTGTCATAGAAAATAGCAAGCATACTTGCATGAAAAGGAACATAGAAGAGTTTTCAGCCCTAGCACTAGTTCAGCTGGCAGAGAAGTCTCTGATGGGCTGATAAAGAGTCTCCTGGGGTTCTAAGATCCTAGCAGTGCAGCCATGGTGCATTAGCTTCTGTGTATACATAGCAGTATAATGTTTTTTCTTGATATAGGTCAGGTAACAGAGCATGGTGAATGAGCATGAGTCCTCAGGTCAGAGGTTTTGAGCTTGATCCTGGCTCCACCCCTCCTTGGCTCTGTTCTTTAGGGGGAAGATACTTAAACTCACTCTGTGTTAGCTTCCTCACCTGTAAAATGAGAATAATACTAGGGCTTATGTCCCAGAGTGCCCTTGAGATTCAAATGGGATTGTCTATTAAAAATGCTTAGAATAGAATGGTGGTTAGGATGTACATATCAGTAAAGGGATATTCAATCAATTATAACAGCAGTCTTAGCACTTGCTATATAAAATTGTCATGCAAGACATCCTGGAAAACACAAAAATTAAAAAAGGGTTCATGAGCTACTTTCAAACAAACATACAAACAATAAATAAGACTTGGTTGTCTCCCTTGTGAAAATGATAGATTCTAGTATATGAAAGATGGGAGTGGCCATCTGCTTCCAAAAAATCACAGCCTTGAACATCCTACCGAGTAGTTCTACTGTCCATCACATCAGTTCACAGTAAGTCGTATTCCACTTACTGCCATGACAACTACCACGGCCATAGTTGACAAAAGGCTGGTTCAGTTTCAACTTTGAGCAGAATGGTCGACACTCTGAAGGACCCTCTTGCTAAATCACAGCTAACCTTAAACACAGCTCAACCCATTGCTGTTGAGTTGATTCTAACTTAAGCCAGATGGCAGCTCAGTGACTGAGCTTTTGACTGCTAACCAAAACGCTGTCAGTACGGCCCCTCTAGTGGCTTCATGGGAGACAGGCGAGGCGGTCTGCTCCTGTGGAGTGAAGCAGAGGAACTTCCTTGGAAAGCCTATGGGACAGGTCCACCTCACCTATAGGGTCACTATGAGTCAGAATGAGTGATGAAAAGTCAACTGTATCAGCATAAATTATAACAAACAAAATTAATGCATGGAACAAAATGAAGGGAGATATCAAAGTACAAAACTAGGAAATAAAGCACAAAAATAGAAAGCAAAAACTTGGAAGCACTAGTTTACCTAGTATCGTGATGAGCATATTATCTCAGAAGAGCCCTGGTGGCTTGATGGATTATGTGTTAGGCAAGGACAGCAGTTCGAAACCATCAGTGACTCTGGGGACAAAAATGAGGTTTTCAACTCTGAGATTTCAGTCATGGAAACCCACAGGGACGGCTCCACTCTGGTTTATAGGGCCGCTATGAGACAGGGTGTCTCAATGTCAGTGGGTTTGGCATATAGTCTCCCTCACTGCCACTGAGTCAATTCTTTCTCCTGAGAAGTGACTGGTGGCTTTGAACTTCCATTCTTTCAGTTAGCAGCCTAACACGTATGCTACTGCACCACCAGGGTTCTGTCCAAGAAATTTGGAAGGAAGGGTGGAAGGGCAAGAGCTAAGGGAGAGACGTGAGATAAAGAGGGAGGGCGTATTAGGCTGGTTGACCAAAGAAACAAACCCAGGGACACGCATGTATGCAAGAAAGAGCTTTGCATCAGAGTAATTGTAAAGAAAACAGCCCAGTCCAGATCAAGTCCAT